CTTATATCGCTGCCTTAATTTTCGCATCCCTTAATACAAATTGTTGTGGAATTGAGTCTTATATAAAAAAACAGACAAGAAATTAGGAATTTATATCGCAATTTACATCGTACCAACGTAGCGGTATAAATGGCAACGAAACTGAAAAAAAACCTGTTCTAATGACCTTTTTAACTTATAAAAACATCTTAAGCTCCCGTCTACCCGAAAGTCTACATCCACCTTTAGACTGGCACGTGAATCCTATTAAGTACTAATCGGTGTACGGGACGAAACGGAGCCGTTAGGGATCGGAATTTCCAGTGAACGGGCGTCAGTGCACTTGCGAAGCAGTCCCTCACGCGGTTTCGCAGCCATCCAAAGGCCATTGGCGACGTGAGGAACAGGCGACTGGCCACATCCCAGCGACATAGGTTGATTGGTTTGTGTTTCTGTGCGCGTCAACTGCTGCGGTCATTAGTCCCATCACTGTAGCGCCAGATCGGTGTTCCTCCCCAGCTGGAACGTGACCCGGAAACCCTCCCTGGAACGTATTAGCGTAGGTCGGCTTCCGGGGGTTTCCCTCTTTAGATATCACCGCCAGGGAGAGCCACTCCAGCCGGGACAAGCTGTAAGCCCTCCTCCCCTCCCCAACTCATTCAGGTCTTTCGTTGTTTTCCTGATCCCGTGAGCAAATGATGAAATGGTCACTTGTTTTGTTTCTGAACATAAACGTAATTTCACTATCATTCAATATATTTATTCAAATTATCATTCTCCATTTTTTCGTGGCGGAAGTATATTCCTTTGCAAAGGATATGATGAAGGATAAGAACTTGAATCTATAGTTGATTTGTCTTTGAGCATCGATTTTATTACATCGGAGCGAATATTTAGTTAACATTTCCTTCCCTAAACGCTATTTCTTTTTGTATTCAACTTCAAATGGTATAGGGTTTAGGGTAGGGATCCCAGAGTTCGCTCACAGACGATTGTAGTACACATGGTTTTTAACCGTTTTTTTGACGTAAGATAAATATATAAATAATTGTCCCGGAATTGTGAACCGATAGCAGGGTGGGGCATTTGTTTCCGCATTGACGTACAAGGAGAGGATTCAGAAAAAAAGATGGCTCGAGTCCGGTAGTTCCCTTGTTAAGGTACTACTTCAGCATTCGCCTCGTATTGATGGAAACGCAACGGAAAGCTACCGCCCAGAGCAGCTTGCCGCTAGAATTCTCTTCCAGATAGAGGATGAATTCGATTAAACAACATAGCTGGTGCTGAAAATCAGCTACTATCGGGACTCGAACTCTAGGACCTCGGGATCAGAGCAGCTGCAGTGGTAGCAGCATTTGCCCAGAGCCATCGCAGTCAATGAGAGACATTGGCATCACAGCCGGCGTTTGGGAGGTAGCGACATCCTTTAGGCATGCCCTCCACAGGTGCACATCTCTCTCGAGGTGAGGTGAGGTGCTGAAAATCAGCTACTATCGGGACTCGAACTGTAGGACTTCGGGGTCAGAGCCGCTGCAGTGGTAGCAACATTTTCCCAGAGCCATCGCAGCCAATGAGAGCCATTGGCATCACAGCCGGCGTTTGGGAGGTAGCGACATCCATTAGGCACGCCCTCCACAGGTGCACCATCTCTCTTGAGGTGAGGTGAGCTCCGGAGGTTCCGCGCGCGGCCGCGGGCGTGTGTGGGCGCTGTTGTCGCGCGATCAAACAAAGCGGCGCTGACTGATGGGAGGGAAAGCCCCGCGGGGGTGGAGGTCAGTGGGACCGCGCCGCGCCGGGGGCACGCCCACTCCCACGGCGACGTTTGACATTGTCTCCCGCCGGGGAAGCCTAGTAAGTTTCGGGGTCACTGAATACCGATATAGCGGAGAAACATCGAGCTTCTAAGTGATCGCTGAGCGATGGCACGGAGGAGGCGGAGGTGAGGTCGGGGGTGTGGCGATGGCGGAGGCAGTGGAGGATGCGAGAGGACGGGAAGCGAGCCAATGGCACGGGCCGGGAAGTAGGCTAGGGGCGGGGCGGTGACCGGGTCAGTGGGAAGGGACAGGGCGCAGTAAGGCGAGCTCAATCCGCGGGAAGGAAATGGGGCAGTGGCCGTGGCAAGGGAATGGGTGGGAAGATGGCTAGAGGCGGCAATGGCGGGGAGGGGTATAGATAAATGCTCAGATAGACTAATTGTGATAGCGTCAATTACTAGAGTCATTAGTCACTTAACTGTAATGAATGCTTTGATAGGGAGGTGAACGTGGTCTTCCCGGCGAGATAAGGCTCCGACTAGCGTCGGCTAGCGGGATTTTGCCTCACCAGGTATCTCCCACCACGGGGCACCACCTCAGGCGGGACAAGCTCTAAGTTCCAGTCCGGTCTCCCGGCATGTGCAGTAGTGTAGTGCATGTAAGTGTAAGTGTGTATAAATTAAAGGGAAAGGATAGGACATAGAAAAGGAAGAAGACATTGCACGCAGTCCGTGTCCCGTTTGTTATGGTATTGCTGCGGCATTCACCTGGTGTTGATCGGAGTAACAACTGAAAACTCCCAATCAGTAGCAGCCGTCGGCGGCTAGAATTTTCCTCCAGACAGCGACTAAATTCGACCTAGATGACAAGCTAGTGTCGCGAATCCCGTCACAGCCGCGACTCGACCCTACTAAGACCTCCGGATCAGAGGTAGTGCAATGACGAAAGAACCTTGAGCCATCTCTGGGGGGTCCGGGTGTGGGGCGTTAGCGGAAGTGGAATCCAGAACGGCGCTAAAACGGGACGAGAGCGGAGGGAGGGTCGGGGGAGGCGTTGGAGGCAAAAAGCAGCAATGGGTGGGAGGCGGGGGCGAGTAGATGGATGCAGGGTTGGGCGCGGGGGCGACGAGAACGGCATCGGGGCCAGCAGCGAGCAGCGGGCGCCGCGCAGAGAAGAAGGCGGTGAGCCATCGGAGGCTGATGGGAACAAAAGAGCGCGAGTGGGCTCGTCCCGTGACCTGTGCGTGCGACCCCCCGGAGCGCTGCAGAACGGCTCGCGCGCCGCCTTCCAAGTCCGGGCGCGACTTCTGACCGACTAAATCACACGTTGCCACGCCACACCTCACCCTATTCCAAGCCGCTGTAGTAATTGCTGCAGTAGACACCAAAGCATAAATACCCTCCGTTCTTAAATATTATATTTATATTTAAGGCACGTGTTAGTTGGTTTCATAACCGCGAAATGCGAGGCCCGGTATTTTCACCGATATAAGAGGTTTAATGCGGACGTCAATTATCGACAACATCCTAATACACACACATTTCCTATCCGTGGGAACATTATGCTATATATTTATGTCTGACATTTTTTCCTTCCTTTCTGCAAACTAACGAATTAACGTTCACTTTAAACGAAATAACCTTGGTTACCTACATCTTTTTCGGAAGGAAAAGATTTCAGAAACGATCAGTAGCACACACTAACTCGAAATCCTGTACGTTCATTATTGTAGGAAATGCCTCATCTACGGCATCATCAAGCCTTCAATCGTATCACTAGACTACTACCACCAACGGTATGCAAATTCAAGGTATCGTGAAGATGGACAAGTAATTGAGCAATAGATGTCACTCGAACTATTTCTTCAGTACAGATATTTAGTCGACTCCTGATATAGAAAATTTCCGGGGTTCAGTTCACTATATCCAATAATCCCCCAAAAATAATACAATTTTTTCAACTACGAATGAGACAGTAAAATATTCAATGACCACAAAATCAAAATTTAAATAACTTCGTGCCTTCTTAACACTCGATTGTAGACTGAAAGAAGCATCTGAGCTAAATTTAAATCGCCTGTTTCGGCGTCCCAGTGATACATTCTTCCTTCGCTGGATGGTGGACGATGCTAAATTTGCGTGACCAGAGGAAGAGCAGATCTGATTGATTGAGGCTTGCCATGTGAAACAGGGCATCACTGAATTGAGTTGATGAATTATCCTGTCGAGTCCTATGGCTCGACAGCCCGCTACGGGCCTTGGCCGACCGGCGGAGATACAGCCTCTCGGCCATGGGACAAGAGGTTCGTGTGGTTACCACTAAGACATCCCTTCGCCGTATATACTGGTCTTCATACCGTTAGGGCGAGATTTCTCATCGTCACGCAGCGATTGATACTGGGACGGTTGTAAGGAAAACGCACAGTTCTTATTTCGTCCCGGCCAGAAATTGAACCTCGGTTGCGCCGTTGACTGCGAACACTCTAACCAACGGTTTCTTCATTAACCACCAACTTGAAATACGGTAGTGCACTTTCAATGAAGTCTTTAGAGAATCCACTACTCTTTTCATTTACCATACATGTTAATAAAATAACACACAACCCCTTCATCCAATAAATCTTTCAACTTACGCATTCGCGATACTGAAAAAATTTTCTCTGTAAGTTGTATTCTCTCTGACCATTGAAAATTACTATTTAAGGGGGAATTAGTTTATGTTTGTGGATTGCGAGCAGTAATCGTAGTTCACTACAATCGAATGTACGCGAGTTTACTACATCCAGACATAATGTATATCTAGAAAATGCCTGGTAACCTTGACCCTTTGATCGGCCTCTTGGGCAGTAGGTTTCTGGTACCGGGTGTCAAATCCCGCCCACCCCTTGGGATCTCGACCAAGCGAGGGTTCCAATTTGGTTTTCTCGTGATTTCCTCATGACCCCTGTTTTTCCATTATACTTCGATTTATTTACAGAGTCCGTTGACATTTGATCAGCTTTTACGGCGACAACCAATAGGCAGCTTAAACGTCACTACTGTAGGTGTAGGTTCTACAATATAATCTATATTTTAAATGATTTTATATAATGTTCCTTTTATAAGTTATTTTCAACAATGCAATACATATAATTTACAAATACAAATACTATAGTTTACAGCTGATTTACGTCCACGGAATCATTGTTTAAATCGACGTATATCTACTTCATCTTCCCGCTTAGTTGCCATCATTTCAGCTCATAATACTTCAATGTCAGCGCCTTACCTCGGAGTCCCGAAGATGATCGCGTTGGAAAGTTGGTTATGGAACATGATATCGCCCTCCTGAAACAAATAAATGCATTAAGACCTTGCTGTTGCCATGGCAAACGAAGTATGCCCATATGAAATGGGTAACTTTGTTTGGGTTATATCAGCATTTATTACTTTCCACAGATATTCTAGGTCAAATTTAATAAATTACCATCTCGAAAACGGTGTGTAAAAAGTACTTTATAGGACTGACGTTTTTCTGCACTATCGTTTCTTACAACACTGACATTTTTAGCGCCCTGAAATATATAACATTTATTTATGCTGAAAGGTTTTAAACCATCTTGACACAACATCGGTAATTTACTACAGAAGGCAGTTAGACTGAATTTTGCTTCCCAACCGGGTAATGACATTTCCAAAACGCTTATGATATGACGATTTCTTCCGTTTAAAAAAATTAATTTTGTACTGGTGTTTATTTAGTCTTTATAACTTTTTACTTTTTTGTAAGTGTAACATCTCTTCAAAACAAGAACAGTTGACTGAGAAAGAAAAATTGACCTTAATTAGAGAAGTTTAGAAAACTCGCTGGTATATTAAGCTTGTTTTACTACAATTTTAAAAATGGTAATTTCAAATTATGTAGTTAATGCTTATAATATATTATTTTGACAATTATCATTTTGAATGGTAGGCCATGGAAAAATAGTAAATCACAATAGTAGTTTCCACGCACAACGCACTAGTCAACGCCAGTGTGGTCAAGAACTTCACTACAAATCTGAACATAATGTTACATAATTTGACGATATTTATTCGAAGAGCATAAATCGTCATTATTATTATTATTATTATTATTATTATTATTATTATTATTATTATTATTATTATTATTGTTGTTGTTATTGTTATTATTATTATTATTATTATTATTATTATTATTATTATTATTATTTTCATTATTGTTATTATCATCTCTTGAAAATGAGAGAACACGCCCTCTAGGCGTTGTTTTTTAGGCTGAAGTATGTAGTCACGACTGCGAGCAGGGTCATCGATAAGGCAGGAGGGTTAATGATAATGATGATTAGAGAGTAATGAGATGAGTATGGTGTGTGGGGGGGGGTATGAAAGATAGGAGAGAGAGCCGCAAGGAACGTGGGGGCCGGTGCCCCCTGTCCGCCAGAAATTCTACTCGGAGAGATCGGAATACGAATCCTCGCACTCGAAAGGTGAAAAGTGCTGTCGCTGAGCTATTCGACCTCGTGTGTATTGACATCATTTGTGACTGCGACAGAGCGAGTGACCCAACTTCCGCGGAGGCAATAGCACCAAACTTCGTGATCTGCGTACATTGTTAAATCTCGAACCGTATTTTCTTTTTAATATGAAGAGACAGTCCTGACCACTTTTATGACCCCAGGCTTTTCTGATACCTGGAAGTTGTAAACACACATATAAACTATATTGAAAATGAATGATTTTATATAATTTATCTTTCATATGTTATTTTCATTAATGTAATACATATAATTTACAAATACAAAATATTTTATACAAAAAACCTCCACAGTGCGTACCCTCCATTTTTGATATGTAATGGTGCAGAGAAAGATATACTAACATAAGAGTTAGTGAGTTATTTCGACAAGAAAAATTGAATACTGGCAGTCATAAATAATTATCAGAATTCACGATACGTAGAAACGTAGCTAAACCTTAGGGGTCGTCCATAAATTACATCACGCTGAAGAGGGTGAGGGGGTTTGAGGTAACGTTACGTTGCTTTACATAGGGGTGGGTTCACATTTTAGTGTTACGTAACGTTCATATTTATTTTTTAAATCCTTCAACTTTACTGAAATAATTCCTTTTATTCAGTCTTACACTCAAAAATTGCTACATTAAAAAATTAAATTAAAAATATAGTAAATTAAGGAAGTTATATTCTATAAATTGTTACAATAAATGAAAATATTTTTCTTCAATGATATATTGATTGAATCTGGGGGCGGGGGCTTGTCACAATCGTTACACGATTATTAGAAGGGGTTCACGTACGCGTTACAGGGGGAAACAGGGTATTCAAAATACTCCAAATTTGCGTTACGTAATTTTGGACGGTCCCTTAGATGATTCCGGGCGCATGTAACGAAAACAATATCTCTCCAATAAGGTTTGGAAAAAATAAAAAACTATTTAATACGTGCTTTATTACGTGCGAGAAGTTACTCATACATTTAGGAGACTGAGTCTATACTATGAATATTCGAAAAAAAAAAACAACAGAAAAATCTTGTTTGCAACCAAAATACCCCAGGTATGGCACGATGATTAATGGCATATTCTCTGTTTGTCAAAATATTCACGGCTTCAGAGTCGAGTTTCCAATTCTCCTGGAATTTCCAAGAACGACAATTTCCTGGGTTTTACCGTTCCTTCTGAAACGTCATTCCGACTCAAACTTCGTCACATCTACCTTGTGTGTCTTTACTGTAAGAACGGAACTTCCACGATTGTGTCGCTTTCTTCAGACACGTTTGACGAAAGTTATAAGATAATGACGTGGGAAAAAAGGAATATATTACTTTCAAAACGCTGATAATATAACTATAACCGTATCGGTCATTTCGGGAAACACCGGCAAACGACACAACTGAGCACCAGTATACAGGCCAAGCAAACAATTAAGAGACAATTAAGCCTCTATCTGCTCCTAAGTTTACAATAAGAAAATGCTTCTATCCTCCTAGAATAGAAAACTCGTTTCATCCTTTAAATTTGTCTAGTCGAGGATTAAGAGCATTGTCGTCTCTATAACATGCTTCACCGGCTTAAGTGGCTCAGGGGATCAAGTGATGTCACTGCAGTGCCTCTGAGCGAGAAGTCCTAGGATTCGAATCCCGGCGGTGACAAGACAAGCTAGAAAACCAGGTCGAATTCAGCCGCTGTCGGTTCGAGAACTCTGATGGATAGTTTTCTGTGGTTTCTCCGATTAACACCAGGCGAATGCCGGCACAGAACCCTAACGAACGGGCGTAACGAACTAATATCCCACAGCACAGAACCCTAACGAACGTAATATCCCCTTCCTCTTCTTAGCCCTGTCGGTACCCCTTACTTTCAAACATTTACACTTCCACGCGTTACACGACCCCACGTCTGAAGACCGGTCGGGAGCTTAGATCTTGTCTCTGCTGCGGCGGTACCCCGCTGACGGAAGATACCTGCTTCGGAAGGCTCCGCAAGGCGAGAGATTTCGCCATCCAGCGGGTGAAGATCACTGCCACCTCCGGTGACAAAAAAAACAAACATGCACCTACGAGCTAGTGGCCGGAGCAGTTGGCGCGCTTGGAAACACCAATCAATCAATCAATCAATCAATCAATCAAACAATCAGTCAATCAGTCAATCAGTCAATCAGTCAATCAGTCAATCAGTCAATCAGTCAATCAGTCAATCAATCAATCATGAAATGTAGTTGTAATCTCTGGCAGACAGTTTTGCCCATTAACTTTACATGCCAACTTAACCGTTCTTATCGTTTCGTTGGATTTATTTACATTTATTTATTTAGTCAAAAACAGTAAAAACTGTGTGTGACGCATGGGGAAAATAATCATATGCGCACGTTTTCTTGAATTTCAGGATCCCTTCCCATAATTTTAACTATAAAGTAAAGGTTAAAAGGTTAGAAGTAAAAGTTAAAGGGAAATAAATAAATAAATAAAAATAAAATTAAAAAAACGATATTAGCAATATTAGAAAAAAACGTTCAGGAGTTACAGAAAATGTATTTGCCGCGGTAAACAAACTGCAGATTTTATTTTCTGCATTACTAACAAAATAGTAATTCGCCCTTACCTCCACTCCTACAACTACAGGCAAAAGGAAAATTCAACAAAACGTGCGCGTAGTGAAGCTACATTTACGTTCAGAAGAAAAAAAAAGGGGCCATCTCGGCATTTGCTCTATGTATCAGGGAAACCGGACAAAAACCTGATCGAGATGGGGGTCATTGACCAGGAAGCTGAAGTACATTATTTGTTACAAGCATATTAATTCTTTTAAATATGCAAAAAAAAACATTATATAACATTTTTTTGATGATCGGTACAGTCTCAATTTGTATAGAAACACTTATGCAGCAGAAAAAGTTTTACTTTGAACGTAAATTTTTGAACAGACTTTAATTGCTTAACGTCATCTAGCAATGCGTTGTAAAAACGAATTAGTAATACTAGTCGATTCATTGTGCTTTGGAAAGCTCCCCCGGCTTCATCGAGATGTCTTTCAGGCAGATGACAAGGCGACAGCCCTCAGCCACAGCCGCGTTCTCCAACTCTCGCCAGCGGCGACAGCAGCTGCCTTCGAAAGCCGCTCTCACTGCAATAAACAACAGCCTCGTCAGGTGGCGATCAGTCCTCTCCTCGCGTCTTGAAACCCAAGATGTGAAGGAAGAAAACATGCTATCATAAATTCCTGCAAACCGATTGTGGTACGGATTTTTACGAACAGAATGAAGAGAAAAAAAACTGGTCGTGAAATAGATACGAAAGAAGAAGCTACTAGATGTCTTGCCTGTTTACACTTTTGAGAACAGGTCAGGCGGCTTGCTCATTTGTTTCTTGCAGGTGAGGTACCATGCCAATTACCATATTCAATGTCGGTGAATCACTAAATGTATAGAAACTAGAATGAAGAAAACGTATAATAAAAATAGTTCTTATGCCACCTGCCCAGTCCTATGGCTCGACGGCTCGCTACGGTCCTTCGCTGACCAGCGGTGGCCCAGCCTCTCGGGTTTGTGATAAAGAGTTCGTCTTATATCACCTAACTGCATATTATCTCAACATACGTATACATGTGTTCTTGTTTATGTCCCGATGGAGTGCAAGAACTTTGGACAACCATGAACACAACTGATAAGCTGCATTGTATCGGAACAAATCGAGGGCCTGCGTTGGAAAACAAATAGCTTTGGAACGTCTAACATAACGCTTTCATGAAGCTGAAAGTGCCTCCGAATTTTCAGGTTTCTTAAACACACAAAATAG